AGGAAGTGCAAATCACGAGCTAAGAGCGCGCGCCCGAGATGCACGATTGTTCCCTAAGTCATGTTGCGGTGGATAGAAGGGTAGCGATTGCGAGGCGATATGAGTCCTGTGTAGTTGTTGGTCCACTTGGATCATTGTATTTTTTTTCTTTTGAGTGGGTGAGGCAGGTCCCTTGGTGAGTTGTATGATTGTGGATCTGCTGATGGCAGAGATCATGGCTCCACTCTCCATCGGGACCTCGCGGTATCACGGATCATTTCATGGCCCAAGGGCGAGATTGTCGAGTTCGACAAGTGGATGGGGCTGCGATGAGCGAGGTGCTTTGCACGAATTGAATAAAATCAACTATAGACTCCGCTATAGTCCGTGAGACGAATTTTTTGGCAAGCGTTTAAATACATCTTGAAATTTTAGACACCCACAACAGGCTCAAATTTTCCAACTGCTATGGAATTGATAAAATGCGTGTTTGAAGTCCTGAAAACCAACGGAGCGAATAAAGCCAATCAGTTGACATCCCGCATGTTGAATTTCAAATTCAGAACTTGACTATTTACCCTATCAGACCCACGCGACCAGGAGTGAGATATTTGATGCTCTGTATCAGCCTGAACATCAGGATCCACATACGGCTTCAGAATAACCTAGATAGGCCTGCTGCTAGAAAAGGAAGAGAATCGTCCTCAGTCCGGAAGTTTCACTCGCTCATCACTGATGAGTCATCAGTGATCAACTAGTAAACGGTATGTTCCATCACCCACATTATTTCAAACCTCTCTAGTGAGGCTCACAAAATAACAACGTGGCAGAATGGCTTTCAATGCGAAATGTGGAAATGAAGAAATGGAAAGTAGAAATGCGGACTCCGTTTCCAATATTATACCTTGAGAAACCCCAGACTGGAGACTCCAGTTAAGATGTGTTTCCGACGATGTATCGCACTATGTCAATGGAGTGTGTTGATGTAGCGTATTACTGTCCATACTTTACCATCTCATACATTATTTTCCGCACTGCAAACGCGACCCATGTGAGCTGAGCAACACCAATAGATATCCTGATCATCGGGCAACATGCTCAATCATAGTGTAGTTCATAACGATCGAATCGATCGGATCGATCCATATATTGAACTCGGGCCATCTACAACAAACACATCAACATGAGATATCATGGTCCCGATAAACGAAGCTGTGCGACCAGACGTACCAAACCTGAAATTCCTCACCCCAGAGCGTGTGTTCGAAGATATCACAGAACGCATAATGCCAGGGATTTGCTGTATGACTCATCGGCGAAGACTTTGGGACCCAATTCATTGAGATAACCTTGATTTTCCTGTGAAGCTGATCGTTAGATACTTGAGCGCGCCATACTCACGCAGCCACACGTGAATTCGAACATTTCAAGACCAATCTCTGGTCACAGAATTCTAGTCTCAACCGTAGTTGATAGGCCACCCTGTAATCGCTAACACAATTCACTCGACTCGAGGGATGAATGACTCATTTACCTTACTTATAGTATCACAGAATATATGAATATCTACGGAAAGGACAACTGCACCACAAACGGTACAGTGACAGAAGTCCTTACAACCCGTTAGCGCAGCGTTCTATGTAAACACGGATAACCAGCCAATTTCCAGATCGTTTGAATTTAGGGTTTGATTTTCAGCCCTTTGGCAGTCAATTTTCCCCATCTAGGCAGTTCGCGCCTGCGACTTGCGTGAAAGGTTTGGGGCACGCTCGCCCAGAGGCCCCCATCCTTGGAGCGTGCATACGCCATCACGGCATATATTGCGGCTTTGGGCGAAGCAGGTGCCCAACATCAAGAGTAGGGGAGACATCCAGGTTGTCGAAAAAGAGAGAAACTGTCGCATCTCGTAGATGCACATATGTGTTGTGCGCGCGTGAAATATCCCACAGGGATCACTTGGAGCAGTCCATCGTAAATCGATCAGGAGATCGAATTCCCGAGCAAAGAAAAGTGTAGAGAGTACAGGGGCCCTGTACTCTCCACATTTTTCTGGGGCCCTGTACACGGGGCAAGTTCAGAAGTCTGTCTAGCCTACATTGGAATGCCGAATAGACTACCCGACAGTAGGTATCCATTTTGCGCGCGCGTTCTAGCCATGATCGTGTTTTGTGCGCATGATTTCAGAGACAGTGAGCTAGCCCTCGTCCTTCCCGATTGGTCGGGAAGGAATCACAAGTGCTGTACTCTTCTCGGCAGTCTGGAGACTTATGGGTCGACACTTAGGTTCTATCTCTCTCGCTATTTGATTCATCATGTTGTCTACACTCCTGATCCTCTTTGCTATCATCGATGATCTTCAGGCTTTCAAGCCAGGCAATGTACGTATGCATATGTCAACTAGGACTATCTGTAATCCAGATGTCAAGGACGTGCACAACAACCCCGCTCCATGTGGTAAATCCATGGCAATGGAGACTTATGGCCTCACCCTCCCTGGTATGGAGGATGGCTCTGTCACTATTAGGGAGGATATGATAGTCGCCAAGGATGGTCTCATCAGGGTTAAGGCGATGCCGAGTCGTCCCTATCAGTTCCTCATGACTGTTGAAAGCCCCGAGACCAAGCGTATCGACCAGCTTTACAAGAATCAGGCTATCACAATTTCTGAGACAAAACAGGAGCCGGAATCTGTGCGCCTTCTCGGTGCGGCCAAGGCCCCTGGAAGCCTTCAGGAAGACGGATGGACGTCCGAAGGCACCACCACCCTCAATGGTGCTACCGTTCACAAGTACATCAAGTGGGGTCCTCAGGGAGTCGATGCCACCAGCAAGGCAAACTACTCAGCTCTTTATCAGACGGGTATGTACCCTGATCACTGGATTTTCTATACCGATTCCAACGATGAGAAACCAGTCAAACTTCTTGGTATAAACAGCATTAGAGGTAAAACCCTCCAGGAGACCGATTACTCCAACCACGAGGAGCTCGATGATGCCATCGATATCGCTGAAGCCGAGAAGGAGATGCATACGACCTATCAGATCACCAGTTCCCGCCGTTTAGGAGAGAATGATGTTGATGCTCCCCCAGTCAATCTCGATTACATTAACGCCACATTCATTGCGGAGGATGAGCGTACCTTCTTCGAAGATGCGGAAGAAGTCGACTGGCTGGGTCCCCAAAGACTCCGTACAGGCTTGTCAGGAGCCTTTGGTGCAAGGGCCGGTGTGATGTACTTCGGCATTCCCAAAGGATCTGCCGCCGATACCTTCTTCCACACGGAATACAACAGGCGGATGGTTCAACTCGTCAAGTTCGAATTCCCCACGAGCTGCAGAAACGATGAGGGCAAGCAAGTGCAAAGGTATTGCCTCTTTGTCTCTGTCGATGCCACTATGGAGAAGTTCTCTCTCAATGCCGGAATGACCTTCGTGGACGTGAAGGATGACAAGAAGTCCGCTTCATTGAAAGTGATCATTGAAATCGGGAAATCCGATGGTGCTCCCGTACTCAACCTGAGCGTCAAAGCTGAGGGGTGTGCAATTGTCTGGCAGTGGGGCGAGGGTGTCAGCCTTAATATCGTCGTTTGTATTTCTGGATCGGCCTCTGGGAAGGATTTGCTGCAGCCCGACAAGCGCACTTTCAAAGCCGAGATAGAGATCAAAGTCACTTTCAACTTGAACTTACCTGTTGTTGGCTCCATCATTCATTGGAGTATATGGGCTAAGCTTGGCTGTACTGCGAAACCAAACAATGTAATTACTGCCTATGGCGAGATTGGAACCGGCATCTCTCTTTTGCTCGCTGGTGCCGGAGTCTCGGTCGATATTAAGGGCAACACTATGGATAACGTGCCTAACAAGTGGCAGTTCTTCTCTGGCGTGAATCTTAACGCCTGGGTAAACGTCGTGGTCTACAAGCACGACTGGAACTGGCGGTGGGAGATCTGGCATGCCAGTCCTGTGTACTTTTAAATTGTCTGGTTCGCCGAGATATTAGTCATCTAGTCTTTGGTCTATCTTTGTGTACTGGTCGGCGTCAAGATGTTAGACGGTGCCTGTTCCATTCTTGATTCTGTGAGTCTTATAATGCTCCAAGAGCAACATCCTTATCGGGTCATAAGAATTCGTCCTCAAAGATATTTTCCACTTTAACCTTCAATTGTGGCTCACTTCGTGGTCAGAATCATCCACTTTCTTGGTATGAACGATGTCCCGTCCTGTTCCCTCACAGTGAGGAATGTTGTGCTTCGATATCTCGCTTTGTTGTTAAGATTGTGTATCA